GGAAGGGAGGACTGAGGGAAGCCCCGGGGAGGATGGATTAGGTTTCAGAGGGGCTAAGCATTTCTGAGGTAAGGAGCACCAATGATGAAACAGGAAGAAGCAGTGGGAAGAAGAGACAGAGAAAGAGGTGGCTCAGATGGGAGGCAGCACTGAGAGTGGGCGGGTCAGGAAGCCATGCAGGACTTTTGAGATCTGTTAGTACATCCAAAAATGTACTCAGCAGTACGTCAGCGTGTAGCTAAAGAGGTGGAGATGAAAGGCTAGATACTCTCTTGGTATACACTCTACCTTAGTTTAGTAAGTGATGCTGTTCCCTAGTCCTAGGGCAGGGAAGATGGCAGCAGGAAGGTAGCCTGAGGACTGGTGATTGGCTGGTAGAAAGAAGGCCAGCAGCCTGAGGACGCCTCAGTGGGACACACAGGGCAGAGGGAACTGCAGGAGTAGAGGGGCAGCGCTGGAAACACTGATGGGTGCTAGAGGCGGGCAGGAAGAGCAGCTGAGTGTCAGGCTGGTGAAAGATGATGTTATCACCTCTCCCAAGAGTGGCATTTACCTTGTACCATTTAGATGCCTCCAAGAAAAGTGAGCTCCTTGTACACAATGACGTCTCAGGGCTTTAGGGCTTACTTCTCTGAAAAAACTGAGTCAAAAATCCACCATGATTAGAGGTATGCTCTAGGCAGACAGAGCTGGCCATGCGAGCACATTTCTGAGAGGAAAGTGTTAATGCAGCTTAACAGCCCTGGGTGTACTGAGACAGGCAACTGCAGCCACCTCTCTGTGACTTCTCTTTCCAGTCATGGTGTCCACCTCCATCTTTTCATGTACTTGCAAAGTCAAGTATGGAAGCAGAGCCTTCCTGTTCTAAGCAAACAGAGGCAGCAGCATCAAGGATGGAACATATACACCGTCAGTATACTTCTTGTACCATAGTAACAGAAGATGGACACCAGTTAATTTGAATCCCTACCAGAGAACTCTCTTCCCATTACTCTTCCTGGAAAGGGGGATCACCTACAACCCAGGAGTCTTCCTGTAACTTATTCCACCACCTGCTCAGTCAAGAAGGCATTTCTCTTTCACTTCCACGGAGCCCCTTGTTCAGTCCCCTGCCAGAGCACCCGCCCCATTGCCATGGCCTTGTTTACACATCTGTCAGCATGAGAGTCTCAGGGTCAGAGACACTGCCTGATCCTTAAGATGTCCTGAGGTTCATGATCTCAGAGACAGTAACATATGATGTAACAGAGACATGTTTTAAAGCTCAGTCTGTCTCCACAGCATGCACCTTTTCACAGTTATGGGGTCTCTTGAAGCAGAAAAATGATCCTGAGCAGTCTGTGGTAAGCTCTGGGACAACACTGTACAAGCTCACAGGAGGAAGTGCCCCAATAGGAGGACAAGTAGGAAAGACTTCCCAAGAGAGGGAGGTGTCTGAGTATCTGGGTGACAAGTGAGGAAATATAACAGTCCTCTAGGCAGCGTGGGGATGTTGAAGGCAGAGATGGAGTTACAACTGCCCACATACAGAGTGGGATTCTGTACCTAAGTCATAACAATAACTGCTACAGACAATAGAAAACATGTGTCTTTCAGTGTGGATCTGAGCATTTACACAGGCACATAAAAACATTTACATATACATCATGAAAGTAGAAGTGAGACTGAGGGAATGGAGCAACTATTAGGACAGCAGAAGGGAGGGAGAGAGAAGGGCATGGGAGGAACTATGATCAAAGACACGAGACTTGAAATCCACTATTATATACAATGAGTATACCCCAACAAAAATGAAAAAAAAAAAAAAAAGGTAACTACTTGTCACAGAGCGTCTACCATGTGTCTGCTAGCAGCTCTGACGCCTAGTATTAATCTCCACATACTCCTATGAAGGCAGTGTCCGCTGACATAAAACAACCAAGGCTGGCAGAGTTAGGATAACCTGCCGGTTACTGGAAAGTGGATCCCAACCCAGATTGGCTGAGTCTTAAGCCTGTTGTATCTCGTCTACTACTCCATGCTGCCTCCTACAGGCTGGAGGGTGTCCACATCCTCAGCTTGATGTTGCCTGAGCCTCTTCACAGCTCAGAGAGCAAGAGCGGCTGCTCCCTCTACCCCTAAGTGCAGATCCAGGAACCCAAATCCCTGCAGCCCTTGTGAGCAGACAGTCTTTGTGCCTAGGCCTGCCTTGGGTCTTGCAGAGAACCTCCCTCTGTGTTGCTACAGCGCTACAGCAAAGCTGGTGGCCGAGCACTCTGATAAAGCTGATGGGCAGGAAGGCAGACCCTTTGGAAAAGGTCAGCAGAGGTCAAAGACTTTGGAAATGTCACAGACAACAGCCCCGAGGACAAGAGAGCAGGATCCTGCCTCTTGGTTGGCTGCTCACACACACTGGCAGACTAAGGGAGGTCAAGAAGGGGAGAGGGGTCAGAAGTTGGCAGGCCTGCAGGCCCTGAGTGACAGCAACGTGTTCAGGTCTAGAAGGGAGAAACAAGCGGGCTAATGGTTTTGGCCCTCGAGGCTGGGGAACTGGGGCAGGGGTATAAACGGATGACTCCTAAAAAGGCAGGTGGGAGAAACGCAAAGGTGGGGGCTCAGGGCATCCGTTCCAAGTCACCGGGCAGGAAAGCATGTCCCTGGAATAGCTCAAAGGGCTAGCCTTGGCCTGGGGGGTAAGGGTGGAGGGAGCCTCATAAAAGGCCCTCGCCTCCTCATTTTGAAGGTGTTCGATCTGGAAGAGGAGCGTGGAAAGCTCCTTGTAGAGTGAACTCTGACTGTTTGGTGGCTGGGGGAAGCAGGGATATGAACCAGAAACAATGACTGGGCCTATTGATTTTAAGGCATGGAAGAGAGAAGCCCCACAGTGCACGCTCTGATGCCTAGCTCCAAGTGTCTCACCAGAGGGCTTTCCAAAGGACAGAGTCAGAGCAGCCTCTGCGGGGAGTAGTCTTTACTCAGTCACCCCAGGCACAGTCGCCACACTGCAGAGCAGTTTTGCCAGTTACAGTTACAGTTATAGACCAAGGCATGTTTTGGGGCTGGCCCCTTCAAAGTTGAGGGTACAAGTAAGGTCCGGTTACGAAACCAGTGTGCCTATGGCTGACAGGAGGTGGTAAGACTGGGTTCCTGCGATGTGTTCCAAATCCAAGGACATGACATGGGCTGGAAGATAATTGGGATCCCGGACCTGGAAGGCAAAGGCTCTGGAACAGAACGAACTTCCTGTGAAGGCTGAGTGTGGAAAAAGTGGTTAGGTCGCCAACAGTAGACGGTCGGTAGAAGATACAAAGCGATCAGAGCTCATTAAAAGGTGTTCCCACCCGTCATTGAGAAGCAAAATGGAATTGACTACCCGAGGAAGGAGTAGGATCCCTCAGCCCCTGATAAAATCCACTCAAGGGAATGCCGACCAGTCTTGGAGAGATATCTTCTGTGAGGGAGGAAGACAAATTTGAGTGACCCAGAGGGCCTCAAAGGAACTGTCTAGTTCTTTGTTCCCATGGCGAATGAATCCTGACATGGAGGACCCGAGGTTCCAGCCCCAAGAATGGGTCTCTGGCCTTCACGAAGCAGCAGGGAATGAGTGAATAGGTGTTCTTTCACCATTATCTCAGGTAGGGATCTGGGTCCCCCACATGCTGCCGCCACTCTTCCAGAAGCTGGATGGGGATAAGGGGAACTAAGAAGGGAATGGCTGTCTAAAGGTGTCTGGCAGTGAACTCTGTACCAAACTGAGATAGGACCAGCCCAGCTGGAGTCTGGTGCACTCTATCTCTGTAATGAAACTGACACTCTTGAAAGGGAGGACATCCATTGTTCAGTGGATAGTTTAGAACACTCACTATGTACCAGGAACGCTGGTACTAGGGATACTTAAGTCAATATGGTCTCCACTTTCACTCTCAGGGGGCAAGTCAAGTGAGAAGCTCTCTGCTTTGTTATTGCTGCTAGTTTTGGAGATAGGATCTCAGTTATGTAGCTCAGGTTGGCCTGGAATTCACTATGAAGTCCAGGTTGCCCTCCAACTTAAAATCTCTCTGTCCCAGCCATCTGAGTACAAGAATGAATGTGAACAGGACACCAGGCTCAGAGTAATAAAGAGGCCTAAGTGAGATTGCAGTAGGGCCGAGATCCAGGAGAACAACTTTGTGACGGGTTGGGAGGGCTTCACACAACTTCCCTTGATCCCCTGGTCCTGCTCTGGAGGTCACAGGAGAAAGAGAGGATACTTTTGGCAAGAGTTATTAATGAAGAAACTCTCACACTGTGGCTGAAGAGACAGCTCAGCAATTAAGAGAACTTTCTGTTCTTCCAGCAGACCCAAGTTCAATTCCTAGTACCCATGTTGCTTCTGTAACTCCAGCTCCAGGAAGATCCAATGCCTCTCACCTCTGAGGATACCTGCACTCAGGTGCACATACCTCCTCCACATAATTAAAAAAAAAATGTTTGCCGGACGGTGGTGGCGCACGCCTTTAATCCCAGCACTCGGGAGGCAGAGCCAGGCGGATCTCTGTGAGTTCGAGGCCAGCCTGGGCTACCAAGTGAGTTCCAGGAAAGGCGCAAAGCTACACAGAGAAACCCTGTCTCGAAAAACCAAAAAAAAAAAATGTTTTATAAAAACCTCACAGCTTGAGCAAGCCGGGGGGAAAAACCAGTACACAACCCTCCTCTGTGGCCTCTGGTTCAGTTCTGTCTCCAGGTTCCTGCCTTGAGTTCTGGCTTCCTTCAATGATGGACTGTAACTTGTAAGCCAAATAACACCCCCCACCCCCCCAGAAAAACCCCCTCACAGCTTATCACAGACAGGGTGGAGGATCCCCCGCCCCACAACACACACACACACTCACCCAAGAACATACACCAACCACCAGAGGGCAAATCTGACATTGACACTATTATTCTTGGGAAACATGACCACTCCCTTAGCTCAAGGAGAGTAACAGGATGCTAGAAGTGTGGATTATTCTCCCCTGCCAACCACAACCCACAGCTCTCACCTCCATCCAGAAGCTCCTTGACGATGCGGTAGTCGTCAGCCAGGACAGCATAGTGCAGGGCTGTGCAGCCCTTGAAGCTAGCACGGTTGTTGAGCCGGTTGTTGAAGTCATCCTCTCGAGTGACTAGGACTGGGGGACCAAAAGAAAACAAAACCCCCGTTAACAACAAATTAGTCTATGCATGCTCCTTTTTTTTCTCTCTCCTTTCCCTACCTCCATCTCCCTTTGTGTGTATGTGTGTGTGTTGACAGGGTCTCACTATGAAGAGCAGGCTAGCCCAGAACTAGCAGAGCTCTGCCCGCCTTTACCTCTCAGTGCTGGGACTAAAGTGTGTACCATCACCTTTGGCTCTCTTTGGCTTTTTTTTTTTTTCCCTGAGACAGGGTATCACTATGTAGACCAGGCTGGCCTTGAACTCAGAGACCCAACTGCTTCTGCTTCCCGAGTGCTGGGATTAAAGGCCTGTGCCACCACACATGCTCTCTTTGGTTTTTTAGACAGTGTCACTATGTAGCCCTGGCTGGCCTTCAACTTGCCAGGCTACCCCTGACTCTCTCTCCCACGTGCTGGGATTCCAGGTATGAGCCACGATGTCCAGCTTCATCTGTCTTTTGATTTTTCATGTTTTTTTTGGAGTAATGCTTCTCTATGTACCTCAGGCTAATCATTTTGTTTCAGCTGCTCGAGTGCCTGACTTTTCAGTATTTTAATTTATCCATGTACTTCTAAACACTGTTGTACCTACACTGTGTGCCTGGTCACCTGGGCTGGGCAAGAAGAGGTAAAACAAGTCTGGTTTGTTTCATGAATGTTGACTGACATCTACGATTCATTCTGGGGACAAGAAATGAATCATTACAGTCCCTGACCTAAGCTGACTGAAGATAACAAACAGATGTGCAGTGTTGTTGCAGATAAATCCTATGTTGGGGTACAATGGAATGACACACAAAGCCAGGAGACAGTTGAACTCAGTTTGAGCATAAAGAAAAGGTTCCTAGAATATTGGGCAATTCAAAGGATGAGGAGTCCAGGTGATAAAAAAGGTGGGGGTGGGGGTGGTAGAGCCAGGGAAGGGGGGGTGGGATGGCAGGACCAGGGAAGGGGGAATGGGATGGTAGAGCCAGGGAAGAGGGTGGGATGGTAGAGCCAGGGAAAGGGGTGGGATGGCAGGACCAGGGAAGGGGGGGGGTGGGATGGCAGGACCAGGGAAGGGGGGATGGGATGGCAGGACCAGGGAAGGGGGAATGGGATGGTAGAGCCAGGGAAGAGGGTGGGATGGTAGAGCCAGGGAAAGGGGTGGGATGGCAGGACCAGGGGAGGGGGTGGGATGGTAGAGCAGGGAAGGGGGTGGGATGGTAGAGCCAGGGAAGGGGGTGGGATGGCAGGACTAGGGAAGGGGGTGGGATGGTAGGACCAGGGAAGGGGGTGGGATGGTAGAGCAGGGAAGGGGGTGGGGCAAGAGGCTGTTCTGTACAGAAGAGCCACACACTTCTACTGCTTACAATTCAGTAAGTAACTTAAATTTGATTTACAAAATCAGGTAAAAATTGCAACTATAGAAGAGTACAAAGAAGAAAAAGGAACTAATATCTCAGCAACTTGAGAAGGAACACATAACATTTTGGTCTAGCTCTTCAGGGATTGCATATTGTGCCTGGGTGTGCATTCTCTACAAAGTCAGAATTGATTGTATCCTGTAATTTGCTTTTTTGTCTGTTTTGGTGGTGCTGAATGTTGAACCTGGTGTTGAACACATCCTTGTGCATGACAGACAGAGTTCTACCACTAAGCTCCGTCCCAGGCCCTGCAATCTGATTTTTTACCCTTAATAACTATCTGTAAACATTTTCTGAAAGTTAGGGATAGACATTTCACGTGAACAGACCTGCAAACCCTCAGGCTTACTTTAGTCCTACTATTCATTTTCCCTCTCTTTTCTGTCTCCTGTTGTATTAAAATAAAACCTGAAACTGTTCCCTCTTTTCAAGAGCCCTGGGTCGGTGGACATACACATATCTGCTTATGAGATGGGTTCTGGCTTATGCTGCTGCCCAGACCCTTTTAGACTGGCTAATAGACTAGAAGGTTCCACCCCTCTGGGACACTGCCTGGGAGGTAAGGCCCCACAGAGCAGTTTCTAGCCTGCTTGGGTGATGAGGTTTGTTTTTCCCTCATGTAGAAACTACCCGGAACCCAGTTTTCTCTAATGCTATCTCCTGAGTTCAGTTTGTTGGGGCAGAATCTAGGATCTAGGACCAGCCTCCCCATATCACAGCTCTCCCATCCCCTGGCACTAATCCTGTAAAGGGCAGGCTCCTCTTGCCTCTTGAGGGATAAAAGGGTGGGTTCAAGGCAAAATGTGACCTTGCCTAGATAGCAGCACCAGGCAATCATTCCTACGCCATTCTTTCTGAGTCCTTTCAGAATGACTGAATGTGTGCCCCCTCTTTAATACTGACGATACTCTCGAAAGTTCTAAAAGTCAGAAGGCTGTTCAGCAATCGTAGTCCAGCCCCATTTTTCAGACAAGAACGTGGAAGCTCAGCTCACTTGGCTCGTTACTGGTGTGTGAGGAGCTCAGAGGCTGGGGTGGACGGACTGCTTCAGTCTAGTAGTCAGACTCACCAGCGGTCAGAACCAGAACCAGGGTGAGGCCTCGTCCTCCCCGCAACGCGTCAATGAAAGAATCCAGCCCAGACAGAGAAGCAGAGCCCGGATGTTGTGCCAGTCTTAGTCCCTTGCATTCTCTCCGTTTCTTGCTCTGACAACACTAACGCATTCAGTGGAAGCTGCCCTCACCATATGACAGCCTGCAGTGTGTAGCCAGCACCCTAACAAGCCAGCTTGGGTGGAAGCACTTCAAACCTTTGGCCAAAATGAAGATGGTGGAACTCAGAGCTCGAGATCAGACCACACTGCTGACCCTACAGTATTATGTGACCTCCTCCTGGGCACCAACAACAGGAAGTAAGAAAGTTTGTGAGCAGCTAGTGTTCGATCAGCCTCTGGGCGCATGAGGGGGCAGGGTCTGGAGTAGCCTGGCCTCTCGGCACACCCAAGGGATTATCTAGATTAGCCTGGCCTCTGGGCACACCTGAGTGTGGGTATCTAGATTAGCCTGGCCTCCGGGCACACCTGAGTGTGGGTATCTAGATTAGCCTGGCCTCTGGGCACACCTGAGTGTGGGTATCTAGATTAGCCTGGCCTCTGATCACACCTGAGGGATTATTTAGATTAGCATGGCCTCTGGGCACACCTGAGTGTGGGTATTTAGATTAGCCTGGCCTCTGGGCATACCCGAGGAATTATCTAGGTTAGCTAGAATTATCTGAGGAGTCACCTATATTAGCATAGCCTCTGCGTGTGTGTAATGGTATCTGTGCTTTTCCTGTTCAAGCCCTTTAGGAGCTCAATCAGAGCTCCAACACTTAGTCACAAATCACGCTAGTTACCCACTCTTAGTTATCACATCATACTGGGGACCTTGTTTCTAGCCCACTGCAGATTAGGAGAAGGAAATAAGGCTGGGGAGGACACTTCAGAGTCAAGCAGATTGATCACAATCCAACACTGGCCAGGCAGAGAGGGAAAAGAACAGGACAATGAAAAGCTGAAAAAGGATTCCAAGCACAGCACCTCAAAAGGCCCTAAGGGCATCTCTGAACTGCCACACAGGACATTAACTGCTGGCTATAATGATAAACCTGAAGAAAAGTGATAGTTGGCTCAAGAAAGCAAGAAGGGTATAATCCATTTTACAAAGAAAACCCATCATTCATTCAGCAAACAAGTGTAATGAGCACCCGTGCGTGGTGGTAGCTTCTGGAGATGCAATAATGAATGAATAGGGCAATCTCGGATGTTAGGAATCAACTGTCTGAATCGAGAATCAAACCAGTAAAGTGTTTTCACAAGTATGATGACAAGGCTATGCATACAAGGTGCTTACCACAAAAGCAGGTGACTTCAAGGAACACAGAGGAGACGACTTCAGGTGAATGCTGGTCCTTCAGCAGAGGACCAGTATCACAGCCCAGGGATAAGCATTGTTCCTCAAGTGTCCTGCTCATCTGAGGTCTCACCTCACTATTGCCTTCCTAATGCTCGTTCTTACCCTGGAACTTCTGAAAATGCTATTCCAGCTGAACCCACCCATCCCTTAACTGTCTCTTGGCTGGCTAATTCCTTTCTAGGTCTCTAACAAAGGGTCACTTTGTCCGGTGGTCCTTCCTTCCTGAGTGGAGGTAGGTATTACTCTTGAGGGCTCCTCTAGCATCTCCTCCCTCTCCCAAAGGCACTCCAGGGTGAGCACCTACTAGCTGGAGGCCAGGCAGTGTGTCTACTTTCTTCACTACATATACTCTGCGCTGTAGTCCAGAACACAGCACAGCGGGCCAAAACTGCTTGACAGATGATGGTGGAATCAGCAAGTAGATATAAACTGAGTGCCTCTTTATGAAAGTCGAAAATCTAAAATACTCTGAAATCCAAAACTTTTTTATTCCAAAACCTTTTTCTGTGCTGGCGCCATTCTGATTTTGGTTGGGCTGGTGACACATGGGAAGCAGAGGCAGGAGGGTTACAAATTTGCAGCCATCCTGAACTACACACAAAGACCTTGTCTCAAAAAAGTTCCTGATTTTGGAGCATCTGGAGTTCATATTTTTGGATCAGAGGTGTTCAACCAATAAAACCTATATACAAATATTCCAAATTTCAAACAAACTCCTAAATCTGAAATTCTTCTGGTGCCAAGTGTTTTGGATAGATATATTTAACATTTCACACAATTAAAGTTAGATATTTCTGTTTGTGGAAAGCAATTACGACATCTACAAACAAATGTTTAGTGAAGGCAGCAGAGAATGGCTGGCAACTGAGCAAGCTCGAGGGCCAGACACTGGTGTTTGAATCCTGGATTGATCACTGTGCAGGTTCACACGGCTTGCTTGACCTCTCTGTGCCAAACTCCTGTCTGTCATGGAAAGACAGAACAGGAATCTCTTGGTGGGTTGCTCTGGGTGTGGTAAAGCAGCATCTGGTCTCAGTGTCAGTCATCATCCTTTCTATTTAGTCTCTTAGAAAGGCACAGGAGCAGGACACTGCAGGTGTGAGGTAACAACCAC